CTATGTAGATGGCTTTGTACTATTTAATTAATTTGATAGTCTAATTTTTATTCAATTATCTTTTATTGTAATGTTTTTTATATGTTGACGAGCATATAAATAGAACTTAGGATCATAGCGATTATTGACTGTAATATTGTGAATCGAATTTAAGATGATTGTTCAAACTTAGTAATTGATTTAGGTATAAATAATTATACGTTTGTGATAAAGAAATTAACGAGCGTTCTTGCATATTTTTACTTTGTATTCGCCTAAGGAATTTGGGAGTTGTCATAATTAGGAAGTGTGGGTTATACACCAATAAATTTGGTATACCGATAGTGTTAATTTATCATAATTCTAAAAAATCACTTCGAGAAAATAGACGCAGTTACCAACAATGATAATTAGTAGACTTGAAACGAAACCTGATCCTTTTCCTAATATCATTTCGTTTACCAATTTTATTCTCCCAAATTACTTTCACAAAATAATCTGAAACCCCATAATTTTAATTTCAATAGCATGTGAATTTCTTTGTTAAAAAAGAACAATTTTTGTGGAGACGAACTTATAAATTTTATTACTTCGATGTGTTTAGTACACTTGCTAAATAGCCATCAATAACTCTAACACAAGGATATCTCTAGAACAAAGTGAAAAGACTAGACCCAACTTTCTTAAGCATACTATCCCCAAACCAATATGAGGCGTCCTCAACTTTGGATCCTAGGAGAGACTCCCTTATCCATCAAAGAGACATAGATTGAAGACACTCAACACTACCATCCAAGATAAAAGAGATCAGAGTAACTTCATATATATCAGATAAGATATCACGTCAGATGCCTAAAGTATCCAAAACTAACCGCCACCTCCAATTATCCAGAACGACCAAGTTAACCACCCGAAGATCACAAATTCCGAGACATCTAAACTTCTTGAGTTTGCATACATTAGACCACTTAACTCAAGCAACCTTGGAATCCACTTTAGCTCCACCCAAAGAAATCTCCTTTGAACTTTCACAATCTTCTTCCGAACTTTAACATGCATCTTTAAAAATAAAGACAAAAAAATATAAATTATATTAAAAACATAATTGAGAATGATCATTCTTCCTTCTATGTCACATGCATATGTCTCCACGAGAGAAACCATTTAGTGATGAGATTAATTAATGGTTTTCACGTAGAAGACAAATGAGGGCTAACCCCATTGGAAGAATAAGGTAGTCAAAGAAGAGAAATTCTTATTTATAATGAAGGAAGTCACAACCTAGACCTAGGAAAATAAGATCAAAATTCACCCAAATAATAATACTCTTGACAAAATTGACTCGAATGGCTAAGACTAACTCAAATCCTTGGAGAATGGCTTTGATGCACTACAACAAATAATATATTTCATGACGAAACTTTCATGTCCAACAAGCTAAAACCGAGAGGGTATGACCTGAGAGCGCTTTATTAATAAGATAAACAACATGTTAAGTCGGTATTATAAAAAATCGAGGTAACTCAACTACAAGTTAGCGCCTTTTATAATCCTTAAAATAATAATAAACACGTTATCTCAGTTTTATTTTAGAGCTGAGGCAATATAGCTATAAGGAACCTCGCTTCGAATCCTCATTGCCGCATTTAATACCTTTTCAATAATTTATCACAAGAATAAGCAATAATAATATAAGGAAATATTTCATTGATAATAAAAAAAAGCAACACAAAAAAAAATTACTCAACAAATTCAAACTTCTTAGTCCACTCAACTTCAACATCACCCCTAACTATCCCTAACTTATTGAAAAATACATAAATAACTCTTTCATAAGGTATGAGGAAAGTCTTCTCTTCCCGAAAAGCCTCTATCATTTCCTTCAAGAAGTTGTAAATTGTAAGAGGAAGATTAACTCTCATGTTGTAGGTGAGGAATAACAAGAGATGCTTTTCATACCAAGTAAGCCTTTCCAGACCTTTCTCTCTTGGGCAGAGATTTGACACTAGAAGTTGAAACTAAAATTTTGCAATAGGACGTAGAAAAGAAGGACTAGAGAGATTAGTATCTTTGGCATAAAGTTGGTGAATTTGGTTTGCATAGGCACAATTGGATTTATAATGTTGAACATAACTACAAAACTCTTCACAATTGATTGTCAAAGCAATCATTGATGGAGTAATGTATAAATGAGTGCTATTGACATAAGATTGGATGATTTCTTCATGACCAGTTGGCACAACAGACACATTCATCGAGAATTATTTAACGAGATTAGTGTATATGGGGACATGTAGAATGTCAAAGTAACCACTCAACTTTTTTTGTTAACAACTTCCATCAACATTTTTTGTAAAGTTTCGAAATCATTGAAATTAACATACTTTTCATTAAGAAGGAACAACATATTTGCATCCATTTTTTATAAGAAAAAAAGACTTTGAAACAAGGAAACAAAGAGTTGGTAATGAGACGTTGAAAATAGGAAAAGACTTTGAATCAATGAGTTGGTAATTAGACATTTAAATAGCTCAAAAGCCTCCTTGATAATCTAAAAGAGACGTTACGACTTGAATATAGTTGATCGTTGTTATTCTAGTGATACAATTCAAATGCATGTGCGCCACGTCTGTGTTCTAACTTTTCTGTTAATTGTATTTAAATGTTCTAACCCGTCGGTCTTCCTAAAGACCGAGAGAAAATTTAGTGTTAAAATAAATTTAGAACCTCTATTTTAATTGTATTTTTTATTTTAAAAATAAATGTTCTACCCCGTCAATTTTCCTAAAAAACAGAGGGTACCTTTAGCGTTAAAATCGAGGATATTTATCAAATACTCTATCAAATTCTTGTTGTTCATTTCATGACTATCAACGCTCAAGATATTACCATTAGTGATCTGCATGAAACATAAAAAACCTCAATTGTGCCTCTCATTATAAAAGCATTCTGAAGCATGAATAGTTTAAGGTTTGCAAGAGTACTGTTTGCCATGAAAAGTTTTTTATGATGGATTGCAAGAGCAGAAAATCATTTGGATTTAAGGTTTGTGTTTTTAAATGTTTGCCATGAAGAGTTCTTTAATATTTTTTTTATCAAAAAATTATTTATTTATCTAACCCTTTTTTTGACTAACCATTTTTTTGTCTAACCCTTTTTTTGACTAGCTTTTTTTATGTTGATATCAGAAACAAATGCATGCAAAAGCGATTAAAAACATCCTTGCACACATCATTTGATCTACCCTAAAATTATATGGTTTGAAGATCTAAAATCTAGAACTTCTAGAAATTAATTTACCTAACCTTTTTCTTTTGTTGGGAGAATGGAGTTTCTCAGTATTTGATCTTGCCCGAATATCAAAAAATTGAAAATCCAACATATGATCTTCATGGATAATTAATTTTATTTTTCTGTATAAAAATATAATATTCTGGATAAACATTGTAACGAGTTTTAATTATAAAAAAAAAAAAGGAATAACCCCTCGGTTTTCTTGATAAACCGATATAAAAGAGGCCATATTTTTTTAAAATAATAAAAGTGCAGAAACTGGAGATTGAACTCATGCGCTAAAAAATATTACCTCGGTCTTATAAACACTGAGGTGTTAAGTCCATACTTTTCATGTCAATCTCATTTTCCTCGCTTCTGATGTCAAGATAAAACACATTTCACGTCCAACGTTAGATGTGTTATTTATAATAGTGATAGATAAGATATTATCGATAGAAACATCTTCCAGAATAATCGTGTCATCTCCTAAAGAATGGAGGAATAATTCTTAATAATTGATTAAATCTAATGAATTTAATTGATGTAATAATTGATCGACATGTTTTTCTTCTTTTGTCATAATTATTCATTGAAGCATTCCATTAAACGGCGATTATAAAAAAATAAGGGTTAAATATGTTTCTTTGATCCATATAAATTATCAAATTTTGTTTTTGTCCCTATAAAAAAAACTGGCATAATTTAGTTCCTATAAAATTATTATGTAAATAGTTTTAATCCTTACTGTTAAACCGATGTGCATTTTTGAATGATTATTTTAAAGACATGTTTAAAACATTATAAAAAGTTTTTTTTTTTAAAAAAAGCTCAAAATTTGATTTATAAATTGAGATTTTCAGTACTTTTATCAATATTCTTTAAAATTTAAAAAATTCATATTTGATTCTTTTCATTTTAAAAAATTCAAAAATTTAGTAAATAAATATTTTATAGTATTCTAAACACTTATAAAAAAATATTCAAAAATTTTAAAATTTTAAAATAATTAAATAGATTTTAAAACTTTAGGAAATAATGAGGACTAAAATCACATGAATAAAAAATTTATAAGAACTAAAATATGTTATTTTTTTAATAAGTACTAAAAATAAAATTTGAGATATTATAAAAATAAAAAACATATATAATTTTAAAAATAAACATTTCAATGTTTTCGACATGAAAGAAAATATTAAATAGAGTTAGTTCCAGACTTAAAAACTATTAATATAGAATCAAGAATAATTCCATTTGTTCTAAAGCTGCAAAATAATTTGATTGATTTTTTTGCTGTATGATATGTTGTGAGCCACCATAAATGGATTTATTTGGAATAAAGTAACGTCAGGAATCCAACCACAACCACAAGGCGAGAGATTCCCATGAAAAAATAGCCACGCATTGTTTTTCAAAACATTATTATATGCTTCAATTCAATCACATGCTTTACTTGTGAGTTTTGGTGGCAGTCCTTAAATTGTACACTCCCCAATTATTTAGGAGTTCATTTTAAAATTAATAAAGGGTGAATAAAATATAATTTAGTAATGTTTGTTACTTTAATTTATTTTAATTTAATTAGGGTGATGGCACAAATAAATTTCCGATGACAAAGTTAAAGTACAAAGTTACAATGATATCAATCATTATTTTAATCATTTTGTTCATTATTCAAAGCCTCGAGAATGTATATAAACGATAGTGATTCCTCATCTTCATCACGATCCTCGAACTTTTAGAGTTATTTACTTCACACCCTTTGATTTGTTCCTATCGTTGGCTGTTAACAAATAATATCAGTAGTGTTACGTATCTAAAAGTAAACGTGTATACATGCGGAAAAATACATATTAATAAGAAAAGTGAAAATAAAAAAAAATCTGAATCATTCTTTATTACAACCATTTTATGATTCTTATTAAAAAAAAAATTATAATAAATTAAAAATTATCTATTAAATTATATATATATATATATATATATATATATATATATATATATATATATATATATATATATATATATATATATATATATATATATATATATATATATATATATATATATATATATATATATATATATTTTCTTCATATTATTTTGTATTAAATAATATTATTCTTACCTAATACAAAAAAAAGAAAAAGATTTTTATATTTAAAAAATTAAAATCAAATAATAATATTTTTTGGTAAAATATTTTTAACAAATCAATACTATGAGTATATAAAGTAACACATATGTTTGTAATGTGTTGATATAAAACTTTTTATGTTGATATAGTATTTGATCTCTTTTAAAAACGATTATATAAAATATTAAAAATAATTTAAATTAAATTTTATATATTCTTAATTTAATAAAAGTGGCACGTGTCTAAAATATATTTGATTTAATAAATTGAAAATATATATTATAATTATCTTCAATTTTAATTATTATAAATTTTTTATTTAAACAGTAAAAATATCCATATTAAATACTTAATTAGTAAAAAGACGAACACGATTTTCAATTATTTTATATTTTTTGATTATATATGTTTAATTCAAACATAATTTTTTAATTCTAGTTTTAATATAATTTTTTATTTTTTAAAATTAAAAAAATATTATTAAAGAAAATTTTGTCCAAAAAAGTCATATCAAATTCATAATAATATATATTTTTAATTATATTTATATTATAGTAAAAAAATTAAAATAAATAATATTGCTCTATAACAGCTAATAAAGTATCTTATAAAGAAAAAATAGTAAATAAATAAATAAAAACTTTGACTAAAAATAAAAAAAAGTAATCGAACATTAAAGTTTGAGGAGCAAAACTATTTTTTAATACGCCTCCTCAACAATATTAAAATAAAGAGAGAAAAAAACAATTAATGTTGAGTTGAATAATGATTGAAATTGAAATGTTAAAACCAAAAAAAAAAAAGAACAAAGAATTGAAGTTGAACAATTACCTGCTGTTGTTGGTGTTGGACTTGGAGGTGAAAGAGTGTTGTTGGTGTTGAAGCACTTGGCAGAGATGCAGTGAACAAAACAATTGACGACACTATTTTTCACACACTTTCTCTTTGGAGTCGCATTATTATTGGCTTTGCCCAATGACTCTTTTTTAGTTATTTTCTCCTTTGGCTCCTCCACAAGGCTTAATGTGTCTACCCCTTCGCAACAGAATCTCAACTTTCTCATCATTTTCTCTGCCTTCCTTTCTCTCACACTACTCTCAATCAATTCTACTGCAAAGTGCAAACGAGATAGTGTCACTATATGTACACTCTTTCGGGTGTGTTAAATAAGAGACCCTTTTTAACTATATATATATAAAGATTTGTTTCTAGAAAATGGGCAATGTGAATTTAGTTTGTATACCTGTCTCTGTTAATAAATTATTAAGGTTTATATTTTTTATTAAATAAAGTATTATTATTTTTTTTATAAAAATTGAAGTTCTAGAAACTATGATAGTTTGTTTTCAAATTTTATCACGGAGTTTTAATCCTTGTTAAATAAATATGTATTTTGAATGTTTTTTTAATCATTTTTACAATATTATATAAAAGTTTCATTCACAAAAATTAGGCTTAAAATTCAATTTTATTATTTAAATTTAGAGTGAAAACTCATTTTCATCTCTTATAAAAATTGCAAAGTATAGATTAATTTTTGAAAAAAATTCATATTTAATCTCTTATAAAATTTAACCGAGTCACGTTAATCTTTCTGTTAATATTTTATTTAAAATAATTTATTCTCACTTTTGAATTGTGATTGGACTGCCATGTGTATTATTTTATATAGAAATATCGATGTTTTGTAAGACGGTATTCGACTGTGTCGAAGTCGAAGAGTAATAGGGGTCAGCTGTATTCAACCAAAGTATTCTTTAACAATCTTTTTTTTCCAGTTATTAAACATCTTTCTTTTGTCAAGTTCAATCTTAATTAGATCAATGAACATTTATCTAATTCGATCCAACAATAAATTGTTATTCTTAACAAGTAGTTTTGTTGGGTGGTTAATTTGTCAAATCTTTTTAATGAAATGTATTGGATTGGTATTAGTTTGGTTACAGCAAAAAAAATCGATCAAATATAAGATAACTATGAGATTTGATAAATACATTCTCATACAATTGTGAAATTATGCGGGGCAAATATTTATTGTTTTTTCATTTGTTATCTTTGTACACTATTTAGACCGAACATCGCTCCCATATTTTTATATTGACGAAATGATACAATAAGATGAGAGAATCCGAATTTTTTTTATTAATAACCATGTATTAAAAAAATATTTCGCAAATAACCGGGTTTCGGAAAAAATTACGCAAATAACCATGTTTCAGATGGCTCCACAAAGGAGGAGCCATCTCAATTGGCGCATGCACCTAGGGTTTTGCCCTATGGCACCTCCCTTGTCTTTTAGCCAAGTGAGATGGCGCATGCTCCTTAAAAATGAGAGGAGGCGCCATCTCACTTGGCGCCTAGTGCAAAACTAGGGCAAAATGCTGTTTTATAAATAATTCGTCCGTTTCTTTGAAATTTCTCACACTTGCTCGCACTGTATTTTTATTTTGTACTCCGTTATTTGCGTAATGACGTCGCCTATGATTTTTAGCAGAGATGGTTACGTTATATTCTCCGCCACGAAACCTGCGATGAAAATGAAATTCTGGCACATTCACTCCATGGAGCGTCTGAAGCGGGAGTTGATGCGGTGGCTAGATGGAGACATCGCGGAGGGGAAAAAAATTCGAAGGATCCAGCGAAAACGAACAACAACCTCGCATGCGACAGGAAGACCTAATGTGTGGTTGGAGGAAGTCAAAACAGACAATGATGTAATGCTGATGATGCATGGGTCAGATGAAATTGTGTTAACAGTTGTAATTTCCTAGATTGAATATCGTTAATCATTGTTGTACGCGAAAACCCTAATGTAATTTCCTATATTGAATTTCTTAAATCGTGTTAACAGTTTTATTAACGGAAAATCCTAATGTTTACAACACAAATATTGAAAAGATTTATTGTATTACAATATTTATGTGGTCGAGCCAGACGCCCGATTCAGACAGTTTTTGCGATTGTGTCCGACCTGACGGCATAAACCACACTTTCTTTCCAACCTGTCAAGATCGTCCATTTCTGTTGTGATGCGCTTGCTTTTGGGACGACCCTTCTTGTTCCTTCGCATTTGGTCATTGTGCCAAACTATATCGCCGTTGTATTCAGGCCAATAGTCTGATTTTGCCACCAAAGGAAAGTTGTTGTTGTAAACAGTGAGCAACGTTTCAGATTTATAAACGTTTGAGAGCAGTTGAAGCGCGTCTTGATGGGTATGAGCACAAGCGGCAATGACATGAGAGCAAGGCATACGAAATGCTTGAAACCTTCCACAATCGCACCATTGAGAAGGTAAAATGACCCTGTATTCTTGTCTTGCCAGGCCTTCATTGTGGTCGATTGTCTCTTTCACAATGAAGTTGTGGCTGTGTCGGTCAAACCGTGTAACCATGTGAGTGTTGGCTTTAGCACTTTCAGCCTTAATGTATTTCATACAGCTTTCACTCCATAGTTGTCCTGATTGCAAGACCGCATACAACATTTCACCTCTTTTGGAAAATAACGCAGCCATCCTAAAATACGTCGATTTTACCAAGGCAGTGATTGGGAGGTTTCGTATGCCCTTGAATACCCCATTCATTGATTCAATAAGATTTGTTGTCATATGCCCCCATCTTTGGCCATTGTCGTATGACCTAGTCCACTTTTCGACCAGTATATTGTCGATCCACGTACCGGCTTCTGGATTAGACAAACGGATCTCGTTGCGGTAATATTTGAATGTGGGTTGTGTCAATGCGTATCCCGCATTCATCACCGCTTTCCTCAATGTTTTGTCCTTGACCTCCCTCGAGAAATTCTGGACGATATGCCTGACGCAATAGACATGCGTAGAAGGAGGGTCATGCCAACCATTTGCTGGATTATTATAGGCACTTTCAATGGAGGCATGTCTGTCCGAGATCAAACAGAGATCTGGTTGAGGAGCCACGTGTGTATGAAGATTTTTCAGGAAAAAGCTCCAAGCACCACCGGTCTCCCCCTCGACAAGGGCAAACGCAACGGGGAAAATGTTATTGTTGCCACTTGTGCAACTGCCATCAATAGCGTGCCTTTGTACTTCCCATACAACCAAGTCCCGTCAATTTGTAGAATTGGTTTGCATGATGCAAACCCTGTGATGCATGGTTGAAATGCCCAAAACACGCGACTGAATATTCCGTTGCCATGCAATAGACTACCATCTTGGGCGTACACTGGCAATGTTTCCAGAACATAAACACTACCTGGAGAATATGTCTTGAGTGCATTTAGGTAGCGGGGAAGTTCTCGGTATGACTCCTCCCAGTTTCCGTACACCCTTTCAATCGCCTTAGTCTTTGCTAACCACGCCTTACGGTAAGACGGAGTGTAGTTAAAAACCGTGGTGATGTAGGAGATGATTGTTTTCACCTTCAAAGAAGGGTCGTTGCTGACTAGGGGTAGGATTTCTTGACAGATTAGATCATGGTTGAGTTTTCGGTGGTCTTGTGATTGAGTGGAACTTACACAAGTATGGGTAGTCATGGAACCTATGACCCAGCAGTCACCCCTTAATCTGTATGATGCGGTCAGCTTGAACATACAGTCAGGGTGGACACACTTGATCTTGTACCTTTCCGGGTTTACACGATCCACCTTATAATCAACCGAGTTGAGCATGTGAAATTTTTTGATGGCCCTGATGCATTCCTCTCTGTTACGAAACTTGTCCTTCTCTTTTAAATTTTCATCCGACTGCATATACGGTTGGAAAAACAAGTCAGTAGAAGGTTCATCTCCTCCCATGTTGAAGTTTGTCATGTGCGTAGGTGGTGTGTAGATTTTGTCAGTAGGAATACTTGGGATGCCATCATCGTCAGAATCGTCGTTCACCATTTCATCAAACTCTAACTCGTTATCTTCTTCTTCATCATCAACTGCATCTACCTCATCTTGTTCATTCTCCAAAGGATCAACCTCCTGTGTCACCGGAGGCTCTACCTCATGTGTCACCGGAGGCTCTTGAAGCAAAACGTACAACTCAATAGAGTCGTTTCCAGAATAGACATGGCTGGAAATCATGTTCTGGAGATCCTCGTCATCTTGAACTTCAACCTTATAAAAAATTACTTGGTTGTTTCCAAAAAAAACTGGACTCTGATAAAATATCTGGGATACCGGGCCTCGTTCAAGTTTGGCCTCCAATCTTTTCTTGAAGTACGAGAAATTTGCTTTCCCGTTTAAGAGAAATCGAACGTTGTCGGTGTTTCTAAACAAAAACCCAACTGTGGGACACATGTATGTCTCACCGTTGAAATGTGCTTTGACAACAAATTGTGGTGAAGAGGCCATTGTGTAGAATTGTTTTAAGGTTTGAAGGTTGGAATGTTTGAGGTTTATTGATTGTATGAAGGTATGAATGCTGGAATGTTTGAAGGTTTGATGACTGATTCGAAGGTTGGAAGATTTTACAGATTATGTGAATCAATGTTATGTTCAACGTAAGGCAAAAAATTTCAATTAAGTAAGGGATGCAACCCCCCAAGGCTGCCAATAATATTACATGCAATAATGAAACCCCATAGCCTGCCACCTAGCCTGGCCCTATTCTGCACACATAAATGTTTTGTGTAAGACTCCACCCATCAACTCCAATGGCCTTGCATGCAACAAAGAAAGGAATCCCAAAGGCTGTCACGTAGCCTGAGCCTATGCTGTAACAAATGACACCTCTTATTCGCCAAATGGGGTGGCGACACCATTCATTTTTGTACTCTTTCGCCAAGTGAGATGGCGCCTCCCTTACTGTCCAATCGTGATACATGCATGGGCTTATGAAACCCCATAGCCTGCCACCTAGCCTGGCCCTATTCTGCACACATAAATGTTTTGTGTAAGACTCCACCCATCAACTCCAATGGCCTTGCATGCAACAAAGAAAGGAATCCCAAAGGCTGTCACGTAGCCTGAGCCTATGTTGTAACAAATGACACCTCTTATTCGCCAAATGGGGTGGCGACACCATTCATTTTTGTACTCTTTCGCCAAGTGAGATGGCGCCTCCCTTACTGTCCAATCGTGATACATGCATGGGCTTATGAAACC